AGCTTTGCATCCACAGCACACCTCAGTCTCACAGCCTCTGGGGTTGAGGGACTGTGGCTCTGACAGCTTCCCTGATGGCTCATCTTGGCCAAGGGGAAAATGTTAACAGTGCTCAATGTAGAAAGACATAGGAATAGGTATCTGTCACACTGGAAGGTGTTGCTGGAGACCCAGGCCAAGGATTTGGCTTTTTGTTATTTTCATAAAGAAAGTAAGTGTTTTGTCTACACATGTGGACCCAGCCTGAATCTTCATGTGACAAAGAGCAGTAGTTGTGTGTGAGGGCACAAATGGACAAGGAGAAAAGCCTGGCTCCGTGGAAATGGGGTTTTGTCTTCCTGTAAGGGGGTGGGGAAATTATTCATTCCACTAGCCAGTCCATCATTTCTTTTATTATTATTATTTTTTATTTGAAAGACAGAGTTACAGAGAGAGGTAGAGCCAGAGCCAGAGCCAGAGCCAGAGAGAGAGAGAGAGAGAGAGAGTCTTCCATTCTGCTGGTTCACTTCCCAAATGACTGCAATGGCCAGAGCTGAGCTGATCTGATCTGTATGGCCAGAGAGAACCAGGCTGGACTTTGAAAAGAAGTCAGGGACCGGCATTGTGGCATAGCAGGTAAAGCCGCTGCCTGCACTGCTGGCATCCCATAAGGTCGATTCGAGTCCCGTCTGCTCCACTTCCAATCCTGCTCTCTACTATGACCTGGGAAAGCAGTAGAAGATGGCCCAAGTCCTTGGGCCCCTGCACCCATATGGGAGACCCAGAAGAAGCTCCTGGCTCCTGGTTTCAGATTGGTGCATCTCCGGCCGCTGTGGCCAACTGAGGAGTGAACCAGTGAATGGAAGACCTCTCTCTCTGCGTCTTCTTCTCTCTGTGTGTAGCTCTGCCTTTCAAATAAATAAAAATCAATCTATTAAAAAAAGAAAAGAAGTCTGAAGGGGGGTGGCATTATGGTGCAGCAGCTTGAGCTGCTGACTGGGGCACCTCCATCTCATATCAGAGTGCTGTTTCCAGTGCACCTGCTAACACACCTGGGGAAGCAGCAGAAGTGGCCTGAGGACTTGGTCCCCCGCTACCCACCTGGGAGACCTGGAAGGAGTTCCTGACTCCTGGCTTCAGCCTTTCACAGTCCTAAATGTTGAGGTTATTTGGGGAGTGAACCAGTGAATGGAAGATCTTTCTGTCTGTCACTGTCCCCCAACTCCGTCGCTCTGCCTTTTCAAGTAAATACAAATATATCTTTAAAAATATGTAAATAAGGTCTGAGGCCCAGTCCTGAGTCCACACACATGCTATCTCTGTTGTTTTGTGTCTCAAATTTCCCTGTAGGTAAAAATGATGAACCAGGATTAAAACAACAAAACAGAATAACAACAGCAACCACAAAAATTGGATTATTTCTTCAAAGGAAATTTTCTGTTGGATTCTCATGAATAAAACATTGCATATATTTCTATATATCTATCAAGTGTGGAAGGTGGTGGGGGTGGGGTGGGAATGTGGTCACACAGCTCCACCAACTCTTCCCTGCTCCACCTCAATTGCCTGTATTTACACTGCTATCCTATCTTCCTCTTTAACCCTAACATAGTATAAAACCACCGGCCTAGAAAGGCTATACATTTTTATTTATTTTCATTTTATTTGATAGGCAGAGAGACAGCAACATATAGACACAGAGAGATCGTTCATGGGCTCTTTCACTCCACAAATGCTTGCAATAATTAGGGCTGGGCCAGGCCAAAGCCAGAAGTCAAGAATTCAACCTGGGTCCCCAAAGAGGGTGACAGGGACCCAAGTACTTGAGCCATCATTCACTGCTTCCCATAGTACACATTAGCAGGAAGCTGGATCAGAAGCAGAGGAAGTGAGACTTGAATCATGCACTCTGATATGGGATGCAGACGCCCCAAGTGGGGTCCCAACTGCTGTGCGGCACTTTCCAACCACTCAGCTCCTAGAAGGGCTCTGGAATTCCTTCTAGAGCTAGCGTGGCTGTGGGGCCTTTAGCATCCCAGTGACCTCAAGTCAGAGGATCTAGGATCTATAGGATCTAGAACAGCACTGTCCAGTGGAAATATGTGAACTGCATGAGTCATTCACAGTTTTCTAGTAGCCATATTCTAAGTAAAAAACAAAGTATGTAAATTTAATTTTAATAGCATTTTATTTAACCCAAAATATGAGGCATTCAACATGTAACTGATATTAAAATAACTAAGGTAGAGTAGTTCCTCCTTATCCATTGTTTCAGTTTCTGTGGTTTCAGTTATTTGTGGTCAGCCATGGTGTGAGAATATTAAATGGAAAATTCCAGAAATAAACGATTCAGAAGTTTTAAATAACTTCTATGACAGTATGCCATTGTAATTGTTCATTGTCATTATGAACTGTTAATTTCTTACTGTGCCTAATTTATAATTAAACTTTATAAGAGATATGCATGTATAGGAAAAAATATAGTGCATGTGGGTTTGGGTACCATATGCACTGTTTCAGGGGGCTGCAGAACATTTTGGAACATATAACCTACCGATACGCGAAGATGAATACATTTTACATTTTGACAAGAACCTTTTCAAAATTCAGTGTGCACTATTAGCTTACAGCACCTCTGGATTCAGACAAGCCACATTTCAAGTGTTCAATAGTTATATGTTGCAAATGGCACCCACACTAGAAAACACAGCTATGGAACATTAAGTGGTTCTGGGATGTTTCCTGAGTCACAGATGCATTCTGCTGTGAATACAATGGGAAAGATCTGCAGGCCTCCTGTGTCCAAACTCATGAGTAGTGACATCCTCTGGGCCTGCTATGTGTCCGCCTCTGCAGTGGTCACTGTCCTTGTCCATCTGTGCTGCTATAACCAAAGACTGACATTAGGTGATCTATAAAGAACAGAAATGTCAAACAGCTCTGCAGGTTGATAAGTGCAAGATCAGAGCACTGGTAGATTTGGCGTATGGCTAGGGATCAGTCTCTGCTTCCACGATGGTGCCTTGGCATGGGTACTGGGCCTTCATGTGGTGGAAGGGACGGAAGGAACACACCTACTTCCCCAAGCCCTCCAATGAACACTCTCATCTTGTTCATGAAGGTTCCATCCTCATGACTTCATCACCTCCTGAAAGCCCTACCTCCTGATATTGTCACGTTGACAATTTGCAACACACGATTTTTAGGAGACGTTCACATCCTAGCTGCTGCCTCCTTCAGGCTGTCCTCCTCAGCTGCTCCCTGGGCCTGAAAAGGTGCATTGCAAGGTATTTCATTCAGCTGGCCTCAAAGATCTCAGTGGCTTACCACTCCACTTTTCTGTTCCTCAGTTCCTTCCCCACTTCCCTCTCGATATCATTTTTATCATGGGATTTATTATTTCCAAGTTTATTCTGTGCCTTAGGTCTGATACCTCCAGGAGTTCACCTTTACTGTAAAGATTATTTGGAAGACCAGACCTCTTCTTCCATTACCCCGCATGCTTAACCAATAGATTGCACAAACAGGAAGTAATTTAATGAACAGTTTTGTCTAAAACACTCCGTATGATATCTTTTATGTTGGTCTATGTTAGCTTCATTTTTTAGGCTTTGACACATAGCACTTTGCACTGAAACAATCAATTCTTTTTTATGATGTTTGTAGGAACAAAGCTCTGACTCAGTACATCATGCTACAACACCTAGATATAAGGAGGATGCTTCATTACGGCTGAACATCAAGGTTCTTCTGGTTATTTGTATACAGATCAGACTCATAGCCACTGGCTGACTGGCATTACAAATTTCAATCTCAGGGCAGTGTTTCATATGGTGTTCTTACGTTATGACTGAAAAACAGGAACAAAATCACCCCTACGTAGTAGTAACTGAGCAAACCTCTGTATTTTTTTTTCTATTTGTTCTACCACTCTATAATCTGAATATAAATTATACTCTTAGAGATGCTTAATTTTAGAAAAATACTTTATTTCTGTAAATGATTTGGTGATTACTCCATGTTTTAGATTTGATAAGGAATTTTGCCATCTTTCCCAATTTTTCAGCCTGAATGGTTTAGATTCTCAGTCAACTAGATTATAATAATTCACTGGTTTGAAACTATAATAATCATCTCATTAAATGAATTACATTTCTTTTTGAAGTTACTTTCTTCTTTTGGGCCTGTGAGAAAAGCTGTTAAGAACTTTTTTGGCAATTGTATAAATCCCCACTTTGGGCTTAGATACTGAGGCATTAGCAGTGAATTCATAATTTATAGATCATAAGCACCTTGAAGTAGAGGCACCCCATTTCCTGAAGCAAGTACAATGAGTTTCTACTGAGTGCCCTTTATCAGCAGTCTTGTCTTCCCCTGAGCACTTGCGTGGGCACTTTTCCTTTTTCTTTCTGAGCTAGGGTATTACTGCTCCTGCTAAATAAACCAACCCTGGCTCTGGGTGAACACTGGGGGTCAGAATCCGGACTTAGACCTCTCAGACTTTGAGTTAACAAACACTGTTTCCCAATAGTTGCCTGCTTGCAGCATTTCAGCCCCAAATAGATTCAGGGTAGACCCTCAAGGAAGTCCTCAGATGACTGGGATTACCTACAAACCCACATTCCTGGCCTTGACCTGCTGATCCTCAAAGCTGTGAGAACCTCATGTGTTATCAAGGGCCTGAATGCATGCAGTGGGCCTACCCAGTTTTTTCCTATTTAAAACACTCAGAGGCACTTGATGCTTGTTCAAACTTTAGTGTGAGAAGTTGGACTGTGTATGGGCCTGCACTTATGCAGAGGTGTCCAGGGGGATTTCTTCCAACAGCTCAGTGGGCACAGTTGGCCAGCTAGTCATGGCTTGACCCCTCCTGGTTTCAGACCCACATTGCAAGCAATTATATAAATATGCCCTACCACTTAGTCTATTTGTTAGGCCTGGAGACTGAAGCCTTTCTCTAAATACCTCCAATCAGGTAATGAAGAGACAGAGAGGGGGAGAAAAAAAAAATCACAGCCATCTATTTCCATAGTGTTCATCCTGTTTTACTGCATCGTCATTATTTCGCTTTGTGCCCCCTCCTCCCTGAGACAGGGGTGCAGGGGAGGGAGAAAAAGATCTCTTTCTTCAGGATTCTTTGTTGTAATATCTCCACAATTCATCTGGGTTTTTCCAATCCGTTTTGTTTTCCAGGGCAACTTTCCTGAAATTCTCCTGGCATTTTCCTGAGGCGGCGACCAGCAGCTTGCCCCGGCCCCGACTCTTGTCCCCTGCGCACCGGCAGGGGACCCTTCTGCCGGCCCAAGTCGGGGGCACGGCGAGCGGCGGCGCGGGCTCCTCGGCGCTCCTCCGGCTCCGTGCAGCCAGGCTGTGGACGCTGGGCTCCGGCTCTTTGCCGCCCGCGGCCGCTGTTCCAGAAGCGCCGGGCTGGCGGTCCTCCGCTCGCTGGGGACCGTGCTGGGTGGAGGGGCGGCGGCCGAGGCCAGCACGGCAGGCGGGCTGCGGAGACCCGACGCGCCGCGGGGGAGACGGGGTGGGCGCCCACTGGGGCGAGGTTCTGGGGCCCTGGGCGGTGCGCTGCGGGGCGCGGGGCGCCGGGCCCAGGGGAACCGCAGCGGTGCAGCGGCTCAGCGCCCGTCCGCGGTCGTAGCGGACGTGGCCCCAGGCCTCTGCCTCCTCCGAGCAGCCCTCTGCCGCGCCACCTGTGAGCTCAGGGTCGAGCCCGGGGGCCCAGGCAGGCGACGGCGGGGGCGTGACCGGGTCGCGGATACCGGAGAACAAGAAGGAGGCGCGCTGCCGCTGCTCGGGGTACCAGTGGGGCCGCCGGTGGGGCAGCGACATCTGCGGGCCGCCCGGAGGAGGAGGGGCCGAGTGGCCGCCGGCCCGCGGCGGCTCCGGAGTCGGGGCCCTCGGTGCGTGGCCCAGGGCGGGCGGGGAGGGGGCGCCGCTCGCGGGCGGGCTCCGAGGCGTCCCAGGGGGGGAGTCTTGGCAAAAGTGGGCGAATCCCGGGGAGGGTCTGTCAGGTCACAGCTCTCCCAGGTGGAGCCGGAGGTTGTCCGTGGTCCCCGGCCTTCAGAAAGTTACTCCGGCACTTTGGGCCGTCAGTCCAAAGGAGGGAGGAGAGATGAGGAGGCCGCGCGGCGGGTCTCAGGGCGAGGGGCGTGTGGACGGAGGATCCGGTCGAGGAGGGAAGAGCCCGGTTTAGCCCGAGCCGCCCATTGACAATTCAGCCCCGGAAAGGGTTAAGGCGGCGGGCCGCGCCGGCTTACATGTAAATAGAGAGCAGCTGCTCCGCGCGGGCCCCGGCTGGCTCTTTTAAGTTTTTGATTGGTTGCCAATGACATCACCGCCCGTGTTCTAACACAGAGGACCTGGAGCCGCGTCGGATAAACCCGCCCTGACGAGGCGAGGCCACGCCCACAGCTCCGCCCCCCTCGGCCGCCCATTGGCCGCGGGCCTCTATGAGGTAGCGGTCGGTTTTCTCCGGATTCCTACTGGCCCAATGCGCCGTCGGTCGCAGGCCAGCCCGCCCCCTCAGAATCTTACATTTACAGTGTAGCAAAAGAGAAAGTAACTATGTTGCTGCTGGAGATCAATGAAGCCAAGTGAATGGGGGCTGAAGGTGCGAGTCCTTAGCTGAAACCGAGCGCCGGGGGGTGGAAGGCTACACTTATTGATGAAGTAAGTGGAAGTCGCCGGGGCCACTCTGGAGAGCCCGGGAGTGGAGGTGCGTGTCTGTGCGTGTGTGTGTGAGTGTGTGTGTGTGCGTGAGAGAGGGGAGAGGGAGGCGCGATGCTGACCGAGGAGCCCCAGCAGGTACGCTTCCGAGCTTGGGGCTCCTGGCCCCGCCGCCCGGTGCGATTACTCGCCCTGCAGCCTACTCGAGTCGGGGGCGAAGCAAAAGCGAGGTTTGTTGGGATGCTTTGCGGCAGTTCTACGAAATGCCCGGGGCTTCTCCACGCGCCGTGCGGCGGCGAGGAGGGGGCCACGTTCCGTGCCCTCGGAGCGGGCAAGGAGCACGGGCTAATCACTTAGTTTTTCTTTCTAGCCCCTGCCTAGCGGCGGAAGGGCGGCTGGCCAGGGCAGGGGGGCTCAGCTCGAGGTTTCTCCGGGAGGTTTCCTGGGCCAGACTGGATGGTTTCACGCGCAGCACAGACGCCCGACCGTCTGCTGCAGGGCTGCAGATCTGTCCGCACGCCCGGTGCGTGTGTGCGGGCCGCGCACCCCGTGTGGAGGCGGGGGTCCCGGCGCGCGTGCCTGCGGAAGCGCTGGCGCGCCCCTCTCGGAGGAAGCAGACTGTGGATCCTGGACGTGCCCCACCAGGTAACACAATAGCAAAGACTTTGGCTGCTTGGTCCCGCTGGGACACAGTTACAGCTTTTGGAATATGGAATAGTACTCGCTCCTCCAAAAAAAAAAAAAAAAAATACTACGCATACGCAAGGGAGCAGTGTGTGTGAGAGAGCGACACCCGAGTCAGTGGGGACCTGCGGACCTGGTGGTGGGTGCATGCCCCTATGTGCGCGCGCGTGTGTGTGCGGATTCCTCCTGTGAACACTTTGGCTCTGTGTCAGAGAATGGTGACGATCGTGTGTAGACGGATGATAGATGACATTTTTCCCGGACAGCTCTTGAAGTTCGTTTGGGTGAGCGGCTCTTGCTCGGGGTTTGGTTTCTTTGCTGTGTGCATGTCTGATAGAGGAGTCAGTGGGGTCTAGTTGTAGGGTGTCCCTGAGCCCACAGGTAGGAAGGGACCATTCCTGTTCAGGTGGTCTCTGAAGACATCAGGGGTAGACTCCTGGTCTCCACTTCCCTGCCTCCCTTCAACAGGGACAGGCTAAAAGGGAAGTCTTTATCCCATCCTTACTCTCCAAGGGGCAGATATCTGTATGGGATTAAAATCCTATACAAAGCAGCTGCTACCCACTGAGAAAAGCTCCAGGATGCATAACAGGGGAGATGAAGAGGGCAGGAGTGCAGGATGGGGGGGAGGGGTTTCCATAGATAACTCCTTGGCTTCAGATTTTGTTTTAGGACATCAGTGTTTAGTGCAAAGCGGGGGGGGGGGGGGGGGGAATGCAGATTAATTAATGAGGCTACCAGAAAGCCTGTGAGGTTTTAATATGACTATGTTGTGTGTTTCAAAGGACCCAACAGAATGGAAAGCAAGACTCGCTCCTGGCCAAAGAGGTTCACTTAGGGGAATCCTTTCCCTCTCAGGTGCAGAAAGTTGACATCCGCCCTAATGTGTATTTAGCTGCTGTATATTTCCGTGAGCCTTGGCAATGCTCTTGGTCATCCCTCTGGCTTTGCAGGGAGTGAAGGGATGAAGTGGGAAGCATTCGAAGGTAGGCAATCAGGGCTTTCTCAGTTGCAGAATCCTCTGCTCAGGGCATGAGGCTCAAAATAGATGCCTCTTAAGAACCTTCCTTTCTGTCTTCAGCTTTCCTAATTCTTGGTGCTTGTACCTTCTCCGAGACTGAACTTTGATGTCAGTCCATGACAGGTTGCTCATTAACATTTACAACATTAAGTCTGAATCGAACCCTAGACTTCACAGCAGAACTGATGGGGGTCCTCAGATTTGCATCCTCCTATGAATACATCCAAGCTTTGATAGCGGCAAGATAAAGGGCACTTGGGACTACTCTGCTCCGAGGGATGCAAAGGCCTTTCCTAGGGATTGGATGAGACTGCCTTTTGTATCACGTGTTTTTATTCTTTCTTTCCCCTCCCCCTTCTTTACAGACTATCTTGAGTTCTTCTTGAATTGCCAGTTTTCAGCCTCCTCATGCCTCCGTCTCCTTTAGACGACAGGGTAGTAGTGGCACTGTCTAGGCCCGTCCGACCTCAGGATCTCAACCTTTGTTTAGACTCTAGCTACCTTGGCTCTGCCACTCCAGGCAGTAACAGCCACACTCCTGTCATTGCCACCACCGTTGTGTCCCTCAAGGCTGCGAATCTGACGTATATGCCCTCATCCAGCGGCTCTGCCCGCTCCCTGAATTGTGGATGCAGCAGTGCCAGCTGCTGCACTGTGGCAACCTACGACAAGGACAATCAGGCCCAAACCCAAGCCATCGCCTCGGGCACTGCCACCACCGCCATCGGAACCTCTACCACCTGCCCTACTAACCAGATGGTCAACAACAATGAGAACACAGGCTCTTTAAGTCCATCGGGTGGGGTGGGCAGCCCTGTGTCAGGGACCCCCAAGCAGCTAGCCAGCATCAAAATTATCTACCCTAATGACTTGGCGAAGAAGATGACCAAATGCAGCAAGAGTCACCTGCCCAGCCAGGGCCCTGTCATCATTGACTGCAGGCCCTTCATGGAGTACAACAAGAGCCACATCCAAGGAGCTGTCCACATTAACTGTGCCGATAAGATCAGCCGGCGGAGACTGCAGCAGGGCAAGATCACGGTCCTAGATTTGATCTCCTGTAGGGAAGGCAAGGACTCTTTCAAGAGGATCTTTTCCAAAGAAATTATAGTTTATGATGAGAATACCAATGAGCCGAGCCGAGTGATGCCCTCCCAGCCACTTCACATAGTCCTCGAGTCCCTGAAGAGAGAAGGCAAAGAACCTCTGGTGTTGAAAGGTAATGACTGCCCCTGCTTCCTTCCCGAGCACAGTCCTGATTAGCTGAGCTCTCTTGGGTTTTCTCTTAGAGGTGACCCCATTCTCCTTTCCCTGGATGCCAAAAGCCAAAAGCAACCTTCTTCTTGCCTTGCCCTCCATGCCCTTTCTTTATTATTTTTTCTGTAGTGAGATAGACTCAGTAGCATTGAACTAGAAGCTAAAGGTCTGGGTGCTAGCCTTTACTTGGCTTCTGATTTGCATTTTGCAAGTCATTTCACCTCTCCGAGAATGTTTTCTCATCTTTCTAAAAGGGGGCTTTATATCACCAGACGGTGTCTCAAGTCATGCCTGCTCTGGTGGCTCACTGTTCGAATCACTAACTAGTTGGAAAGTTGTTGTCTCTCAGACTTAACCTCTGTGCTGCTGGAAAAGAGGAAGCAGCAACTATGGTGCATTACAAGTAAGCCTACAGGTACCAGTTCTTTTCATGGGAAATTCCTCCTTTCTCATTTTTTTCACCAGCTTGACTTTTATACAGTTTATCAAGTGACCTTCAAGAAGGGCAGTGATCTTGTTACTAGGCCCCATGGAAAGTGTAAGTGCTCCAGATACATCCAAGGCAATTGGGACCTTTCTATGAGACATTCCCCGACCCATTGTTCTTTCTATCCTCACCTGGAGACAGCTGGCATCATGGTTCCTCCCAATAGAGAGTGATGGGCCACTCTCCCCAGTATGCTATCAGACTAACTCTGAGGTTAGTACAACTGAACCCTGGGAGGAGGAACTAATTACCTACACCTCACATCTCTGAACCCCTTCCATTCGGCTTTGCCAGCATGTTAGGCAACTCTTGTGCCCAGCCCAGTTGGGCCTGTTTGGCTTCAGATTGTGTCCTTTGGGGAACTGCACATCACTCCTCATTGGCATCTTCTACTTGATGGTGGGAATGAGAGAGAGCCATCTTCTTTCTTGTCTCCTTCTGTATGTTGAGACAATGTACATAGCTTCTTGGTGGCATCTTCAGCCAATCTCTGAACATGTGTTGGGCACTGCGTATATATGTTGCAACAGGCTATTTATCTCGAGCAAGTTAATGGTTTAGTCTTCTTGTGACAGCTCTGCCATTCTCCTTGTCTTTCCAGTGATCATTCTGCCTTGTGGTAATCAGTGTTCTGGGAAATATGGCTCTGAATTCCTCTGATATACTCTCTCCACTTCTATTCTTCTCTCCCCTCCTCAAGCTTGCCCTACCAGA